CCCCCTGCTCCCAGAATCCCGTAATAACGGGGTCTCCGAGTATCTCTTCCCACCGGAAAACGAGCGAGCAGTTCTGCCAGTCGAAGGGGAAGTAGGTGACCTCCACGGCGCAGGTGCTGCGGTAGATGGCGGGGGGCAGCCAGCTCACGTAGCCCCCCTCGTAGACCAGCACGTTGGCGTCGTAAGCCACCCCGAAGTTGCCGTCAATGCTGTGGGCTCCCGGAATCGCAGCGTTTGCGGGGGTCCGCGACCCCTCGCCCTCCGAGCAACCCCCCCCCCATCGGGTCCAGCCCAGCCCCCTCGGGCCTCGCCTTCCTTCCAGCCCGGTTGCCGCTGGGTCCTTACTTGTTTTCCAGCACAATCTCCGGTAGCCACACAAGATTCGAAGGGACCCGCAGGATGTTTACGCCCCCAAAGTCACTCTTGCTGTAGTTGAGTCGGTAATCCTGCCAGTCCTAAGGGGTGGGGACGGGAGGACGTGCGCCTTGCATCTCCCACCTGGTGCCCGCCAGGAGTTTGAGAAAAAGGGGTGCGTCCTCTGGACAAGGCCTCACTCTGGCCCCCAGATTTGACTCACGATTCCAATCCAGACGCTGGTGGTGAGGGTCTCCTCTTTCTCGTTCTGCGCGTGGGAGATGAGGGTGGGACACCAGGGCCAGAAGCGAGCTTCAGGGCAGAGCTCAGCAGTTGGGGCCAGAAGTGAAATTTTAAGCTCAGAGATGGTACTGGGAGTGGAGGTGGGGCATCTTACCAGTGAGATGAGGTTGGTCAGGGTGACCTTGAGGTTGATGGTGACGGTGTCCTCAGGCCCCCTCACTGGCCTGCATCCTGGGTCATAGTTGTCGAAAAGATGGTGATAAAGGCGCAGCTCCTCATTATTTCCCTCGCCTCTGCCTGGGGATGGGGTCAAGCAGCGGAGTCACTAGAGGTGAAGAGGCTGGGGGCCTTCTCCCCTCTGCCCCCTCTGGGTCTGTGCAGGGCTCTGCTTCTCTGTGTATTTTTCCATGTGTGTCTTCTGAGCCAATGGTGTTGCACCTGGGGACCCAACATTGTGTCCCAGTCTACATCTTGGTCTCTGTCTTTGTCTTATGTTAACATCTCCGTGTGTGTCCAACCACCTCCCCTGACCCCTGTCCATACCGAGAAACTGCAAGAGGAACAGGGCGCTGAGCAGAGCCCCTGCCATCCCGCTGTCTGGTTCTCAGGGTTATTCTGAACTTTGGCAGGCTTGGAGCGGGGCAGGCCAAGGCTCATGAGTGAGGGGGAGGAGAGTGTTAGTTCCGGGCTGGGTTAGGGGGACTGTCACCTAATCCTCTTACCACCCCTACTGAAGCCAGGGACAACTTGTCTGTTTCCAGAGACAGCTGCTTCATCCTGTGTTGCCTGCCCCCACCCCATCCCAGCATTCTTTGCTTGGTCTTTGGCCAGCTTCCCCAGCCACAGACCTGATCCTCTCATGACTGGAGCAGGCTGGATTCAGGTGAACAGGTCCCTTAAGAGCACCTGGAACCACAAGCCTGGCAGCAGGGGAGAGGGATACCCTGCTTTCAACATACCCTGGTGTCCTTTCACTAAACTGCCCTGTGTGGGTGACATCCCTTGCCTCCCATACTCACCCGTGTGGAACACAGGTTACCACCACCCCAGCCCAGTCAAGATCACACTGATGCAGTTTCTGCTGGCAGAGTCTGGCAAAAGTAGTGTCTGTAAAGGCCTGGTAATGAGACAGGCAGTCCCAGGGGAGTAGTCTGCAGTAACAGACTCCACCTGGCAAAGATGGCCATGCTGAAGGATAGGGCTGCCTCCTCCCCCAACCCGTCCTCATGTCTGCCCACCCCCAACCCTTCTCCTTGCCTCTCTCTGCTGTCATCTGGTGGACACATAGGATAGTACTGTCTTCCCCACCCCTAACACACACACCTTAATTGATCCTTTCAGTGTTTCTTAGTTTCCCTGGACCACCCTAATCAATCACCTGGGATGCTTATTTAAAATTCAAATTCCTAGGCTCCATCCCCAAAGAATCCCAATTTAGGAAGATGGCAGAGATGAGGTGCCAGGAACCTGTTTTTTAAGAAGCTATCTAGTCCTGGCCAGTGTGGGTCAGTTGGTTGAGTGTCTCCCATGCACGAAAGGTCACAGGTTAATTCCTGGTCAGGGCACATCCCCAGGTTTCGGGTTCCATCCCAGTTGGGGTGTGCCTGGGAGGCAACCAATCTGTTTCTCTCTCACATCAATGCTATTTCTCTCTCCCCCTCCCTTTCTCTCTAAGTCAATAAAAACTTTTTTCTTTTTTTTTTTTAAAGAAGCTATCCCTATTTTTCCTCATGGGTGTGAGGTGCTGGACTAAGCACTTCTTGTGCCTTACACACTGCTTCCTCTTGCCAGTCGGGGGATGCAGTTACCATTGTGCTGAATGTATGAAAGAGGACTCTAAGGTCAGGTGCCAGGTCAGAGAAATAGATTGGCAATAATACATGAGACTTACCGATAAACTTTATTAAACATTTTTACCTATGTTCATTTTACACTTTACACAACACTTTCATGGCCATTTTTAGGTCTCCTTCCTCTACCTGTGAGGTCCCCATGTTACAAGCGAGGATACTAAAGACCAGAGGGTCCACGCAGCTTGTCCATTTTCCACACACCCTTGAAGCTTCTGCTTCCTCTGCTAACTGCCTTATCATTCCACCTTTCCCACTTCAGACCCCAGAAGACTCTATGTGGCCCGTCTCACTTCTTTGCATGTGGCTGATACATGTACTGACTCTAAAATCTGTGCTGCTGCTTATTCCAGAGTCTCTAGGTCAGAGCCTGGGCCAAGAGTTGTTGTGATAAATACAGATATTATTCAAACATTAGTGAGCATCTGCAAGCTTCCCTGAACGGGGCCAGATGCTATTATTATAGAGATGAGTAAGACATGGCCTCAAGGAGGTGAGGGAGACCTATAAGCAGACAGTGACACCAGAACTGTCAAAAGGGTAAAAAAACAGGAGCTATGAAGCTGCAAGTAGCTTCTTTGTGTTACAAGAATCAGATCCCCAAGCCATCTCCTGTAGGCTTAACACAAGGACTGGGACTAACCAGACCAGTGTCAGTGGCCAAGGCAGCCCCGGACTGGCCACCTCTCCTGCCTCTGCTCCGCCTGCTGTGCTCCTCTCACTCCTGACCAGCCTGCCTTTTCTCTTGCCTTGGTGTCTTCTCTTTCTACTGTGGTTCTGCCTCATTTCACCATGGTCTTGGCCCCAAGCCAACCCCTTGGCTTCGCTCTGAAGATGCAGCCAGTTTGGCCTTCGCTGCCATCGTTACCCATCTGATGCCATGAGGCTGGGTTCAGACATGGAACGGCCCCATTTACCAAGGAGGCTGGGCGTGGCCACGTGCCCAGAGCCTTCCACCTTTACCAACCCAGCCCTCGCCCACATATTTCATTCCCAAAACCATGTCGGATCCCATTCTCACTGCTACAACTGAAAATGCACTATATCCTCTCAGGCAAGATTGAAACTTCATGTCTTGCTTCCAAAAATGATTGTGGCAGGGGCCCTTTGAAAAAGGTTTCAACCTCAGAGTCCAGTGCCCTTAGGTTTACTCCTCCAGGTACAATTTCCAACCATTCTCCAATTTATGGGCTAGATGCTGAATTTAATCACCATCATGACATCATGTATGTCTCTCCCCCCCTCCCTTTCTCTCTCTCTCACACACACACATGCACACACACACCATGTAAGATACAGTAGTGAGGCAAAGCCATATCTGGACCAACAGCCTGCATGGGGGAGGGTAGTTTGGGTGGAGGGAGAGTGCTAGAAACCCTCATCCCTTGCTGCCCAGGCCCATGTGTGGCTACTTGGGTCGTTAGTCCAGCACGTATCACATCTGCCACAGAGCACCTTGCTGCAGGGTCCCTGGCAGGGACTGTAGCTCGTGGGTGAAGGTCTCACTCAGAGCAGTGAATCCCAGGGCATCTCTCACAAACTCAGCATGTTAAAAACCTCCCCCTAGGGAGCTGCCAGGAGGAGCAATCTCCCCTTCCTCTCCCTCCTCTCCCCCCTCCTCCCCTCCCCCGCTCTCGGCCTCAGTCGATTCCACTAGCGCCAGCACCGAGCTGAGCCACTTTAGCTGAGCCACTTTTTTTTTTTTTTTTCTTTTTCTCTTTGCTCAGGATCACAATTGCCTGAGGGACTGAGACTTTCTTTCAAGTTGGCCGAGTCAGGCACCTAACTCAGACCTGGGTTTCGTATTTTTATAATAAAAATTCCACAGAAAGCTAGACTCAAAGATCTTAGCTCAACAGGAAGCCACTCCCTGCACCTACTGGCTCTTGGCTGGTAACTCAGCACAGCTGCAGCCGTCCTTATTGGCCAGGCCTGCCAAGCTGCTCTTTCTTCGTCATCAGTGTCCTCACAGTGGAAATATCCCCAAGCTGCTCTGACCAGGGCCCCTCTGACTGCAACAAAAAGAGCCCGGTTTCCTTTTGTAAACTGGGAGAGCGCATCAGCTGAGCCGGGACAGGGGCGGCAGACACTGATTTCTGGCCTGCCTTCCTCAAAGGAACCTAAGCTCTCTGATGCCTGAGACCTTGCTGGTTTACTGTGTCCAGCACAGAGCCTAGTGCATAATAGGCACACAATAAAAATGTACTGAACAAATGGATAAATGAAAGAATGAGTGCCTTCAAATACATGGTGACAGAGGGTGATTTGACCTTGGGCGGTGGACGCACAATGCAACAACATACAGATCGTGTATCATAGAAATGTAAACTTGGAACCTATCTAATCTTATTAACCAGTGTCACCTCAATCGTTTTTTTTTTTTTAAATAATAGGGATCACTTCACCAATTTGTGTGTCATCCTTGCGCAGGGGCCATGCTAATCTTTTCTGTATCGTTCCAATTGTAGTATATGTGCTGCCGAAGCGAGCACCACTCCAATAAATTTAATTTTTTTTAAAAATGAGTGCCTTATCCCCCCATCTACTCAGAACTGTTCTTTTCCAGCCACGTGACTCCAGAGGCCCTGCCTGGCCTTAGAGTCTCCACGCCTCTGGGCAGAGGTGCTGGATCCAGGACAGAACACCTGACCCAAGCCAGGCCAAAGAAAGCCCTTCCCTGAGAATTTTTTCCAGCAGGAACTGAGGAATCAGTTTCTCTTTGCTGTAGGAGGGCAAGATATAAATTTAGATGCATGAGGCAGCCATGTTCATTCCCCATCTTTTACGTGACTGAGAGAGAATGCAGCTGGTACACAAAGACAGGTAGAGACAAGAAAGGGCCTCCAGCATCCCTCCTCTAGCCCCAGGAATTCCAGAGGCCCATGTTGTTCCACTTATTTATTTATTTTAATCCTCGCCCGAGGATATTTTTTCCATTGCTTTTCAGAAAGAATGGAAGGGAGAGAGAGACAGAGAGAAGACACATTGTGAGAGAGACACATTGACTAGCTGCCTCCCGCAATCACCCCAACCGGGGCTAGGGATTGAGCCTGCAACTGAGGTATGTGCCCTTGATCGGAATCGAACCCGGGATCCTTCAGTCCGAGGGTCGATGCTCTAACTGCTGAGCCAAACAGGCCAGGGCTGCTGTTCCACTTCTTTTTTTTTTTTTGTGATCAAAGGAATGTTTATTACAGCATTTATGGGCCTACCTCCTCCATAAATAAATCTGTACAGAGTTGGGAAGTAGTACCATGATAGATACAGTGGGGAAGAGAGCATAGTATTACGGCTCAGGGGTCAGTATGTGTCATCTCATCAATCTCAGCAAAACTCCCTCCCCCAAGTGTACTAACAAGGCTGCTGGGATTTCCATTGGAGTGGAATCAGCAAGACCCCTGCTACAGGATCTCTCAGAATTTAGGAAGGCAGGGTTGGGGTTGGGTGGGGGGATTGTTGCAGGTTGAGCCTATGACCCAGGTCCAAAAGTTCCAGCCTTCTCTGCCACCTCCAGGGCTAACTTCAGGTTCTGGTCAAACAGCTCACACCTGATGGGCGTTTCCAGGGAGTAGAATGGATTCTTGAGGGCAACGTCTGAGTAAATCTCATAAATCTTTCGGAGTAGAGAATCTATCCCAGCTTGCCTAGGGTCTGCCAGCACCACGAACTTGATCCCTGTTAGTGTCCGGAAGCAGTGCGGTTTGAACGTGTCTGTCTCCAGCATCTCAGCGCCTGAGCTGCCCTGTTCAGGAGACAACTGGGAGCCAGTTGCCAACAGCGAGTGGAACACGGAGGCCAACATGCGCTTCTCACTGGAAGCGAGGCGGGCCCGGCCCAAGGGAATGGACACCGGTAGCTCGCAGGGTTGCCGAAGTGCTCCAGCACCTCTGTGCCAACCGCCGCGTACTTGCCCTTCACGTCCATGCCATTGATGGCAGCACGGCGGGGCCCACCCGGATGCCGTCGCGCCGGCCGAAGGCAACTAGCACTCGTGGGTCGTGTAGCTTGAGCAGCAGATCAAGCGGGTAACTGAACGTTTTCTCAGCCTCGGCCCGTGGCGCGTAACTGTCCAGCTGGTAAATCAGGCCACCAGCTTTGTTCACCACGTACACACTGAAGATCGCCATTGCTGCGTCCGCGCACCGGCGCCTCCGGGGAACGGCGGTCACGGGACGCACCCCGCCTCCGCTCCTCCCCCCGCCCCGCACGCCGGCCGCGGCGCTTGCGCACTTGGGGATACACGCTTGGGAGAAGCGCCGGGAAATCAGTTGCCGGGATCTGA